TTCACTCAGTGAATACTTATGAGGCCTGCTCTCTGTACCAGGTAAGAGGATATTGGCCCTGTGTTACGTAAAAATAGACGGAAAACAATCATTTATTTCTTTTTGGAAAATGTTTGTCCTATATTGTGAAAGCGTTAGTGGTCCAGAATTTTTTTCACAGGCAGGTCTCAGAAACAACACTATTTTTGGAAGGAGGAATGATAGAAACTTGGGTTGCTCCTGCATGGCTGTAGAGATAGGAGGATGCCAGTTTTCCTCCCTCCAAGTCAGGGGGTCCATGGGGCATGTTCTCACTGATTAGTGTGGATGGAAGCCGCATTTCGTGTCCCTTCAGACTGAAGCATCCTTTGTACAGGGCTCTTGGCTGTGCTGCGTGGTGGACACAGGTCCTGTGAGAGCTCCAGATAAGGACCACCACAATGGGGCAGAGAGAACGACAAAATAAGCCCTGGGTGCAGTAAACTATTAGCCTTTGTGGCACCGCACATTGCTTCTCCACCCTGGTGCTCTTTTTAACACCCATTATGAGACTGATAAAACCACAGAAGCACAATGTTTGCATGAAACAAGAAATTATTACCCAGGAGAAAGCGAAATAAGCAGTCTGGCTTTACTCGCTCTTAGCCAACTTAAAAATCATTCATTTTGGAGACCATGCGGCTGGGTGATTCTTTATCATCTTCACTGTAGCCTTGCTGTCAATAATACCTCTGGACACATGGGTTATGATTACAGTTAGTTGCCTAGGCTATGTCTCAGGGAACTGAAGGCTGCTTTCACTAAAATACTGACTCTTCACTTGGCCTGCAGATGTCTGATGGGTGATTAAAATGGGATAAAAGCCTGGGATCTCTGCCTTCATATTGTGTCTGTCTTCTGTGCTGTCTTAACCCTTGGATCAGATTCAACTTGGCTCTGCATGGAAATGTGATCATTTTTAAATGTCCAAGACGATAATACAGGGTTAATTTCGGACACTGCTCATTGGAGCTGGTTTGTGTTTTCTTTTCTTTCTCTCTCCCTTCTTTGTCACTCCTGCCTTTGAGCTTCTTTGGAAGGCACTAAACCTAACCTACCTAACACCTAAAGTCCTTCCACACCATTACGGGGCCTGGACCGACAAGGCTGGGATGATTTGTATAGGGTGATGGCACCATCTACACAAAAATTCAATCTCCTTTAGGGCAAGTGACAGTGACCACCTGGTGGTCCAAGTCTGCCACAAGAAGAAACATTGTCTGGAACTGTGCCCCTGACCAGTGGAAAATGCCAGACTTTAGCCCACCCCCCAGCAATCAGTAAAAACGTGCTGCTGTCTTTGTTCTGAGAGCAGTTTGGCCCTTCTCTTGACCAGTGCCAACTCCCTCTTCAGCTGAGTGCCCCACCCCGTTTTGCATGAGTAAGAGTGGGCGTGCTTGCACTGCTTGGCCTGGTCTTGTTTCTACCATCTCTGTAGAGAGAGTCTGTTGTCCAGTATCCATTGGTGCCAAAAGATGAAGGCTAAGTCCACATGGGGTACACTGCCTGCAAGGGACACCTGGACCCATGGTCCATTTTGCAAAAGAAAAAACAGGGAGCCTGAGGAAGCAGGGTCACTAGTTCAAGGCCAGCCGGAGACTCGGTGAGACCCTGTTTCAAAATAAAATTTCCTTTAAGAAAGAGAGCTGAGGAATACAGCTCAGTGGTAGAGTGTTTCCCTAGCAGAGGTGGCGATCTGGATTCAATTTCCAGTGTTGGAAGGGAAGTTAAAATTTAAAAATGAATCTTGGAGCCAGCAATTTAGCTCAGAGGTTCCACAGCCTGCCTTGCAAGCACAAGGGTCCTGAGTTTGATCCCCGGTACACACAAAAAAAGAATCTTGATGTGTGTAAAAAAGAATGAAACTTGGAGATTGTTTGTTATCATGGCATTAGCTACAGAGCCTTTCCTGACTGAGATGGACTCAGAGCGAGGAGAGGGAGGGTAGGACTCTGGTTATAAGGCTGAGACTACAGAGGATCACCCTTTCTACGTGGTGTGCATGCCCCCCATAAATAGTGGCAAAATTTTTCGTACGGATTGTTGTAGTTTACTTGCACATGGACTTTTCTCAGCACTGTATATGATGGCATTGCAAGAGCCAAGAGTGTAAAGGGACAAAAGCTTCCCTTTCCAAGCCATTCCTTGGAACAACTATTAATTAGAAACTAACAAATAACATAAGACCTAGAGATATTTAATTTTAAGTGAAAGAAAATTAGCTATTAATAAATAAACCCAAGGACTTGGGTGTTTAAGAGAGTTTCTAAGTTCTTATTGCACCTTAATTAAGCTCAGCTGAGAAGCCACCAGGCTATTAAACAGAGATGGACGGGGTCCGCAATTCGGGGCCACAGAGAGGCGCTGCCTTTATTAGTCTTCTTTGCCTCTCTGAAAACAAAGTAGGTTTGCGTTCCACTTAGGGACTAATTCATTTGTCACTGTGAAATCTCTGAGGACAGGAATGTCCATTTCAAACCTAATTTCCAGCTGTCTTTTCATTTTAGTGGTTTTGGAAGGGAATTCATTTGCTTCAACCCTAGTATATTTGGGGGCCGGGTGCAAATACCCAGTGCCTGCTGTGAAACTTGAATATAACAGGAGCAGTTTGTTCTCCCTGAGAGCAGCTCCATTTGTCAAAGGCTGGCAGGGCCCTTAAAGAAACATCACTCTTGCCCCCTTTGTAATGGTTTTATGCAAATAACATCCAAGCCTGAGTTTAGGAATGATTTCAAGGAAAGGAAAGCCAGGCAGGGAGAATGGAGTTGAGTGAGGAGGTGGGGTCTAGAGAGAAGAGAGGCAGGGCAAGGAGCAGCAGCCCCCAGACCAAGTACACCTCACCTTGTCCTTGGCAGTGTAGCAGGGGTGGGTGTGGAGGCCAGTTCCTGCCCAAGCCAGCTGGCAGCAGTGCTGGGGACAATGACATGGGGTGTGAACAACGCTGCAGATGCTGCATCGCACTAGTTACCCCCTCAGGAAGCTGAGACGGGAGGATCACAAGTGTAAGGCCGACCTGGGTAACTTATCAAGACCCAGCTTCAAAATTTAAAAAAGGAATGCACGTGTAGTTCAGTGGTAGAGCATCCCAGGGTTCAATCCCCAGTACCACCACCAAAAGAAGAGATGATTCATGGAGAAAAGGGAATGACAGTTCTACTCTTAAGAAAAACCTGTTATTACATAAAAGAATAGCAGACATTAAACAGCTATGAGATTTGGCTTCCAGTGGAAACACTTAGAAGGACGATGCAATAGTTCCGTTGCAAAATGTCAATATTTACACCACTCTGTCCTTTACACAATGTTGTCATTTTTGCCCTTTGCATTTGATGATGCTCTAATTTTTCACAAAGATCCATTTTCTATCTTAGAATCCAACTCCTCCAGCTGTCATCCCTTGCTCTTTACTTCCATGACTAGAAATGAATGCTGCCTTCAGGACTAATTTTTCCACAACAAACTTGCATTTATATCCACTGGGGAGAACCACACAAAGAGGACGGGGGCCTTCCTGGCATCCAGAGCCCGAGCAGAGGCTGGGTCCCTGTACCAGCCCTGCCACATGTTGCTTCATGTCACAGGGTCTGGTCGTCTGTCATGACTGCTGTTTCCCCAAATAGTTCTGGACTCCTTCCAGGCCTTTCCTCATCCTCTGACTTTGTCCATGACATGTGGGAGGAAGTAACAGTGTCTCTCTTAGGCAAATAATATAAAAGTCAGTCACCACTGGGCCATCTTATCTTCCTCTGTGATTATAGGAGGATATGCTAAGGTGGAGCTGCTCTGAGCCTGGGTCCTGATGCACAGAATTCCCAGTGGACCCTGAGGTGGAAATGCAGCCACCTTAGTTTACATGCCGGAGATTTCTGGTCTTATTTGTTACTGCAGCAGAACCTCACCTATCCTGAGTAGCACCAGGAGTCATTTGCAGCATAGATGTTCCTTGACCTGGAATGGGGCTCCATCCCAACTAATCCATCATAAATTGGAAATACCTTAAATCAAAAATACATTTCACAGGGCCAGAGATTTACCTCAGTGGTTCTGCCGCCTGCTTCACAAGTACAAGTTTCCAAGTTCAATCCCTGCTACCAAAAAAAAAAAAAAATGCATTTAATACACCTAACCTACCACACATCCTAGCTCAGCAGCAGGGCACACTGTAGTGTATCAGTGGCTCACCTTGCAATCACAGGGCTGCCTGGGACCTTAGCTCACTGCTGCTGCTCAGCACCACAAGAGATGCCTACCAAATAGCATGCTAGACAGAAGATAGAAATGCAATAACCAAAATACGGTTTCTACTAAATATGTATCACTTTTGCAACATCCTAAACTCAAAAAATCATGAGTTGAACCACTGAAGCCAGAGACCATCTGTAGTTGAAACTTCAGACATTTAAATCTATGAAATGCAAAGCTATTCTTTATTCAGCATGTCTTTGTAACCGTTTTTGGTTTTGTTTTTAAACCTGCAATCCTTTGTCAAGTCAAATTTTTGCATCTGTGTTTTTGGAATAAATTCCTCAAACTGACTAATTTGCATTCTATCCTCTGATTGGGTTTCAGAAAAGACGTAGGGATTCACTACCCTGTTGGTTTTTGCTACTTCCCAAGGACTTTTGAATATCAAGTCTATGGCTGCCAGTGTTCTGCCGCCTTTCATGACTCTTGCAACCTTTCTCCAAAATCCTATTTCTGTTCTGACACTGGGTCAGAGGCTTTCACCCATAAGCAAGCCTGGCGTCCATCAACATTTCTATCAAGTAAGAATGTAAACAGGAAGGTTGTCAGACAGAAACACCATGTGCTGCTAAGAGAAACCAGACAAAGTGAGGAATTGCCCAGGAAATTCAGGAAAATGGATAAGCCAGTCCCAAGAACCTGCCCCACTGAAGTCATCCACCCTGTGTGGGCCAGCTCCCTGCATGAGTGGCCAGCTCTCAAGGATGAGGGGAACCCTTGCTTCTTTAACCAAGCAGCTCATTTAGACATTAAAGAGAAAAATCCTCTATTTTCACACCAATGGTGGTAGAGTAGCTGTAATTTGTACCTGGGACCAGAAGATGTTTTTCCCTCCATACAGACAAGATTTCCTTATCCTTCTGGGGTCTTGGCAGATCAGACACCCGAAGGGGAGGAGAGGACTCCATGCATCAATGCCCTGAATGACGGGAGTTCCATGTATATAATCCTCAAGGCACACATCATGTCTGATGGTCTGGTCTTAACTTTTTCTCAGTTTCTCCACTGTAGGCCTGATTGAAGCCACCCAAAGCTATGTGGGTGCTATCTAAAAGTGCAGAAGTTCACTTTCAAAAGAAAGAAAGGCAGAGACTTGATAACATGATGATTCTTCCCAGAGAATCAGCTAACCTTAGAGACTGGTTAGTGAGCAGCCTCCCGGTGTGATTTCAAAGATCTTCCACATGCCATTGCCTTCCTCTCAAGCTGTAGTGTGCCTCGATCCCATCATCACCACTTCTTTTAGGCTGAGACACTGAACACGCCCTGTGAAGTAAGAGATATCAGATAATTCAAAGTCAGGACTCTGTTGTATGCAATGGAAAACTAACAAATTTAAAACATAGATAACTGAAACATGATGGAATGGCTTGTTGGTTTCAGGCACAGCTAGATCCAGAGCTATAATGATTCATCATAGTCTGACTGCTGTCTCCTGGCGTCTATCTCCTTTATCCTCTGAGACATTCCTTGAGAGCATCTCCTGCCCCAGCTGCAGGACAGCAACTCAGCCCAGAAGAGAAGAGTCTCTGCCTCCCTTGAAAGACACTGTGAAAATCTCCTTGCACCTCACTGGCCTTGAGTTGGTCACATGCTCATTCCTGGACCAATCAGAGTGGCCGAGGAGAGAATTCCTAATGGTCTTTAGTCCCTCTGATACTCAGGGTTGGCCTAGCTATTGGATGAGAGTAGCAGAATGGTTTTTCAGAGGAAACTGGGATTTGGTTACTCAAAGGTGAAAGGTGGTGTGATGGATTCTGAGTAGTGATAAAGTATACACTGCAAAGATCATGTGCATAAAGATATTTATACATTCAGGGGAGATGCACAGAGGCACAGTCTCATGCTCCTCCTGCCTGAAGGTGAAACCCATTTACCAGTGACCTGTAGTGACTTCTCAGATCAGCTACCTGTGACACTGGAAAGAGAAATCATCACGCTGTTGGACCACAAAGCAGGAGAAGACTGTAGGAAATGATACAGCAAGATGGATGCTAGGGAAGGGAGGCAACCAGCAGGGTGGAGAGAGGTTCTGGACAGGGATCATCAGTCTAAATGATGATGATGACAATGAGAGCCACCACTGACAGTGTTGCTCTGTGCCAGGCACTGCTGTAACCACTGGGTATAACTTCACTTCTCCCAAGTTTTATGAAGGTTTCACTCTCCTTAGATCCACTTTATAGGTAAGACCAGAGAGAGACAGAAGCCTTGAGCAAATTGCCCAAAGTTGCTGCTAGTGACATAGCTCTCTGGTCCGGAGTTCCCATGCTCAGACAGACCTTGAAGAATCACTCAGAACCCAAGCACCAGGACTGAGCTGCTGGCAGGGGATGCTAAAGCTTCTCAGATCAACTATCCCCTCATGAGAGATGGGGAAACTGAGGCCTCCATACCGTGGCCACTGTGTCCACCCCAGGGTGTGTGTGTCAGGACTTTTTCTTTCAGTAGCCAGTGGCAAAAAGGAAACTGTTTCAGCAATAAAGGGAATAAATCTCCTAAAGCGAACGATCTAAGTATTCTCCAGGCACAGCTAAATTCTGGACACAATTCAGTATGACTCAGTTTCTCTGAGGCTTTGGTACTACATTCAGCTGGTTAGCAGGCCCTAAGAGCCAACATGGATGTGGTAGCTGGAGCCCCATCTTCCAAGGTTGAGCCTACAGAGAAGAACATGAGTCCCAGGGATGAGCTGAGACACTTTCTGATTGGGCCAGCATAGGTCATGTGCTTCTCCCACGTGATTGGCTTAGTCCTGAAAATGCTTCATGCTAATTGATTTAACTCTGGATAATGCCTTCTCCTCTGACTCTCAGACTATATGTATTGAAGAGGGAAGAGTTTCCAAACAAAAATGGAAGGTGTGATTGTTCTGTTTCTAATGTAAAGTGATAGAGATGCAAGGGTTAAAGAACTTGTCAGTACCCAGTCTGCTTTGTGAGATAAGTTCATTTTTTGTTTATATTATGTTGGAAGCAAATTCAAAATGCCCTGTAACCCACAGCGACCTCTTCGAAAATGCCATCTGTGTTTTTCAGGCTCATCTATTTGAGTTTTGAAAATGAATTTGAAACAATTGACTGGCTTACGGGGTCTCTTGAGTCACTGAGTGTATGAACTCCCCAGTCACCTCTGGTGAGCTCTCAGGTTGACGTGGTCAAACCATGTATTCATGAACTGTGACATCTACCTTAAAACAAAGGGATATTATTTCTCTGTAAAGCTGCTGCTAGGGTCGGGGATGTGGCTCAGTGGCGCCACACCTGCCTGGCAAGTGCAAGGTCCTGAGTTTGATCCCCGGTACCAAAAAAAAAAAAAGCTGCTGCAGAGGAAGGTACTTAGACAATACCCTAGACTGAAATTTCTCTCCTGTGTAAGAGGCATACACAAGGCATTTTCTCATCGTGCTCATTTTGATGAACTACAGTCCTTTATGAAAATTCAATTCAAGCTTTTAACAAGGCCTCTGCAAAGAGCCCACGATATAGCTACATCAAAATAGGGTGTAGATCAACACTCATGCTAGATAAATGTGGATTGTGTCCTGGAATGAATTTTCCTACTTAGAGGTCACTATCGCCCAAAGAGCTATGGATTAGCTCAGCAAAGGAAAGGGAGGTAAAGGACCAATCTTAGAAGGAATGAACTGTCACCACAGAGGTTCCATAAAGAAAAACTAAAGGCAATTTTTTCAGGATACCACTGTGGAGTCCTGTCATTCCCAGGATGCCCCACTCCTCCCCAGATTCAAATCTCTTGGGGATAAGGGTGACCAGCTCAGGCACAGAGCCCAGGCCTGCCTCACTCACTGAGTGTGAGGACAGGCAGGCCATCTCTAGCAGACAGTCCCACTGAAGATGTGCCTGATGACAGTTAATTTGGATTGTCAACTTGATTGACTCAAGAGCTGCTGACATCAAGAGCCAAATAAAGCCTTTAGAGTTGGTGTTGGGTATTTTGTCCCAGCAACGGGAAAGCTGATCAATACACACCTAATAGGGAAAGGTAATTCACCAAAAGAAAATCCAGGTGCTTTATTAGAAGAAGGGGAGCCTACAAACTCCCCCCCCCCCCCAGCATCAAATTGCCCACTGGTACCATTGCCTACCTGTGCTCCAGATCTCACTGCTCCTCAACACCTTCCCTGGACTTACCCAGATGTAACCTGGAAAAGCGAGTGCCCTCCTTCCCCATTAAGTACCTGAGACAGAATAACGAGCAAGTCTATGGGGACCTGAAGCCCAGAATGTCCCCTGTAGCTGTGCCCGGGATCGTGAAAAACAGAGCCAGCTGGACTGTGCTGTGCAAACAGAGAGAGGCGGGGTCCAGAGGGTCAAATTAACTAGGCAAGCAGGAAACAGTTCAAAGACTGCCAGGTAAAACTAAGAAAGTTACACACGCTACAGTTCTGCTAATCTAAAAATTTTAAATGTGACAATATATATTTGAGAGTGTAAACAAATTCAGTAAAAGTATATTATATTGGAGATTTCATGAAAGATAGGTGCACAGGAAGTTAGCAGGGCCCTCCGAAAGTCTTTCTCAGGGGAAGGGGGAGCTATCCAGCTGCTTGTTACCTGAGTACCCAGTTCCTTGTTTTCCTTCCTGTGGGTCTGAAATGCTTCAAACAAGATCAAGCTGCAAGTGCCCAGGGCATCGTCTTCTCTGGCCAGAAATGACTCGTCTCCTGTGAGTCCACGCACTGTCCTAGATTACCTCAGAAATGGGGCTCTTGCTCACTCGGACGAGCAGCAGACCATGCCTGCCTGGTCTTTCCAGATCCCTGGGTTTGCTCTGTTTTATTTGCGCAGGGTGGGGAGAGGGCAAACGTACCCTCCTCCTGCAGCCCTTGGTGCTTTGCGATCTGTCTACTGCTCACTGCTCGGGGCTTGGGAAAGAGCTGCTGCAGCAGCCATCTCCCCATAGGGACCTGGACAAGCTCCAGCTGCCCAGAACTGGGAAAGCAGTTGTCAGGTACAGTGCTGCATGGGGATCTGAGTGGAACCACAGCCTGGCCTGGACATAAGAGGCTCATTCGTGTCCAGGGGTCAGACTGCCTGGCCTTCCAGCTATCTGGGTCTGGAGTGAAACATCAGAGACACCTTTCTTTTTTGGTTTTCCCCTTTCCCTTTTAAATGCAGCATCTCCCAGGCAGGGGGGCTGATTGAGCCATGTCTGTCCACACTGTAGCCAGAACTTGTGGACCAGCGAGGTTTGTCTCTGGGGGCAGAAAAGAGCTCAGAGCAGGGACAGAACCCAGGAGCTGGGAGGAAGGTGACAGGTCCTGCCGGACAAGCCATCCCAATTTCCACCTCCCTGCTCTGCCTGGGGGCTTACACTGCTCTATGCTGGGGGAAGAAGGGATGGCCTTACCTCAAAGTCAGTGTGCGACCTCACCTCTCATATTCACCACCTCTCCATATTCTTGCTTGGGTTGGAGTAGGCCCATCAGATAAATGATTCTAAGGAATTTAAGTATAAAATGTCATTAATAGAGGCTCGTCTACTACTTAGGAAAAAGAGGTAAGGAAACTTGGGCAGAAGCAAATCAAGTATAAGGAAGGGGAAAGGATTTATACAGCCTCTGAGTCAACAAGCAAAGCCACAGTGAAAATCAAAAGTGGCAACATCTGTGTGGAATATTCCCTCGGCAGAATATGTCTGCAAACATGTGTGGATGTCAGGAACTAACACCTGATTCACAAACTTGAAGAGTCACATCTATTGTCCCCTATAACAGAAGGGATGAATAATTCAGCTTAACCACACATCATCTTTCTGCTCTGCTTTCCTCAGCACATCAGCTTGGTTTTCAAGCATGTCTCCTCATGCTCACATAATAGCTGCTTTGGTTCCAACCTCTTGTGCTCAACCATTTTCAGAGCCAGAAGATAGAGTTCCTTCTAGTGCATCATTTTCTAAGAGAAGAAATCCTTTCCCAGAAAACTTTCCCCATCCCAGAATATTTATCCTATTACATTGGTCAGACTTGGGTGCAGTGGCTGATCCTTACTTTGAAGGAGGTTGGGCAGGAAGTTTGGAGGTATATTTGGACTCTGTAGCAGAAGGAGTTCCATGCAAGACAAAGGGCTGGAGCAGACCACTGGGTAGGTAGGTGACCCTTAGCTCTTGCCATTGAAAGGAAGTAAGCCTTGCTCAGTTGGACCTGAGCGTTCGGGGAGGGAGAAGTGCTGTGAGCCCCGTCTCATCACTGCAGATCGTGGTTCTTGTGGCAGTGCAAACTCTTCTGGACATCTCCAGTGTTTTCTAAAGAGTGGGACTGTCCCCAAGCTAAAGGATCCCTAAGTGCAGGAACTTCCTGCACGAGGCTCAGGGACCATGGGGGAGAGGGGCAGGGAGGTGGGTGTGAAGGAGGGTGAGAGAGAAGGTGTTCAGTCACTTTTTTCCCTTTCTGGTCTGTTGGACAAACTGAGTTTTCATGAAAGGTTTTCTTTGAAGAACATGTTTACACATGGAAATACTGGAGAATATAATCGGTGGAGTTAGGAGAATTCAACACTGGCTTTTTCAGTGGGAACAATCAGCCAGTATAGTTACTCAGCAAATACGTCTGCCTGGATTTTTTGACACTTGAAAAAATAAGTCGTAGATAGTTAACAGGCTGCGTTTTTGTTTTTGTTTTTGTTTTTGTTTTTTTTCTGCTTTCCTCTCTTGGGGAACATCTGTTTCCAGGGTTCCAAAGACAGGTCTCAGAAACTCCTGTGTGTGTCAGGCCTCAAAGTCACAGAAAACTAAACATTTCAAAGTGACACTGGCAGGGGGCCAAATTGTTTCTTTTCGTTTTTTTTCTTCCCTTTGGTCTTCTAACTCAGTCACTCATGGTATGTTAACAGACAGTGGGAGAATCTAGGTTGCACCTTTTTTCTTCTCTAAGAATAGGAAAAATAAAATTTGGCTAGAGCTAAGACCTCCTGAGCTTGCATAGGAAGGGGAAGGCGTGGTTCTGTTTCTGCCCGCTCCTCCTGGGCGGCCTGAGGTGGGCGGGGCTCCTTCCCAATGAGCAATAACGCTGCCTTGGGCTTCCTAGGGATTGAAATGTCCCAAGCCATCCCTTTCCCAGGGTGATGACAAGTTAATCCGGGCACCGTTCCAAATGTTACTTATCAGATTCCAAGAGGCATCATCCTGGCGCCTGAGCCTGCCGGTGGCACTTGCTGGGGGTGGCGCCGTCGAGGGCGCAGGGGGAGCCTGGCGCTCTCTGCCCAGATCCCGCTGGGTCGGCTGTTTGGTTCTGGCTCTGACCAGGCGCCATAGAGACAGGGCAGTAGGCAAGGAAAATGACTCACCTGGCTCAGAGCCTAGAAGATGGATGCTGATTCCTTCCTGCAGACAAAAATAAGATTATGGAGAGACTGGGTTAAAAAATGTGTCCTGCTTTAAATAACTCTTTTTAATCCATTAACGTGAAGATACAATAATTTGCTGAGATCCAAAGAGTCCAAGACAGAACCATCATGTAAGTCAAGTTGTTTATTAAGTCAGTGATTTCCTTTCCACCTCTTCCTCTTGGTAGACAGGGCCAGAGCTCACCAATAGCCCAGGCTCCCCACTTCTTCCAAATAGATAGGAGGTTCAGACTTACACATGTATGGACACGTGACCACCCTCAGCCAATGAAATTGGAGCAAAAGTGACGTTTAAATGCAGAAGCATTGAAGAACTTCAGTGTGATTCTGCATGCACCCTTTCCCTGCCCTATTGGTGTCAGGAACATGTGTTGAGAGGTGCAGCCTCCATCAGACATGACCACTGAATGACTGTGATGAACAGAGGCCCCCACAGACAGCTCATACTAGACATAAAGTGTGAAGGGAAAAAACTTTGGTTGTGTTAAGCCATGGAGATCTGGGTCTTATTTGTTACTGCAACATAACCTTGCCCATCCTGTTTATTCTACCCATCATCTTCTGCCACAATATCCAATAAATACCCAATAGATAGATGCATTAAAGGCTCGTGGCTTCCTCTACACTCATACCCTCAAGATTATTGGTTGCCAACTTCCTCCAGGCCAAAAAAAAAAAAAAAAAGTGAGGACTGTTGGAGGAGAGAGCTGTTGACTTCAGCTATGGCCCCAACATGGAGTCTGATGAGAGCGAAAGGGGCCTTGAAAGCACAGACATCAGAGATGAACACTTAAATGGCTATGTCAAAGGAGATTTAAATTCAGAACTAGAAGTATCTGTTGACAGGAATGAGCCTGCAGGACTTGGGTACTTGGTGCCATCTGGGATTCTTTGAGCTAAATAATTGTTGTCACCCACATTGACAGCATCTTAGGTCTATTATACAGTGGGAGGAGGAAATGAGAGAGAATGTGCATTACTCAAAACGCTGGACAACATGTCTTAACCACAGCTCCCGAAATCAAAAGAGCTCCACTTTCTTTTGCTCCATAAAGAGTGAGCTGTGAAGAGATGTGAGGAGATTGGCCAAGTCGAAGCCTAAAGCATCCAAATTAACTTCAATTTATTTAAAAAAAAAAAAAAAACAACAATCTTGGCTCGGTGTAGTACACGTGTTGACTGCCCCCCCACCCCACCACTCACACTATTTGTAGTAACAAAATATTCCCCCTGTATTTCTAGGAGACCACCCCCTGTCCTGCAGTTGGAAGCCAAGAGAAATGAAAACATATGTCCTCACAAATATGAATCCTGCTGCTGTGAACATTATTATATGCATAATAGCCAAGAAGCGTAAACTATCCAAATAGCCATCAACTGCTGAAGGAATTAAAAAAACAGAAAAGCAAACTCTGGTAGTTCCAGAACAATGGAATAGCATTCAGCAACACAAATGAACAAACTGCTGTATCCACATGCCCCCTAACGTGGGTGAGTCACACAAGCATTATGCTAAGCAGGAGGACCCAGGCTTACAAAGTCACACCATTTGATCCCATGTGTATGACATTGTTGAATTGAAAACTTTAGGGAATGGGGATTGAATCCATAGTTACTAACAGCTGGGGGATAGAAGAGAAGCTGACCACACTCAGTGAAATCTGGGGGGCGATGACAAGGCTTTTGTGCCCTGATTCTCTTGTGGCTGTGGCAGCCTACAACTGTGGTGTAATCCATAGGCCTGTGTACCTATAAAGGGTCAACTTACTGCACGGTCATATTAAAAAATAACATTTTTTAAAACTTCACTTGGTTCAAATTGGGCCTTTGGACTCTAAATTGATCTTCTAGATCAAAAGTTCTTTGAAAACTAATTGGATATTCTTTTTATTAAAAGCTGAATCTTTGAAGAAAATATACATATTCAGTTCTTGAGTGAGCTGACTCCGAGGTTTTTTTTTAAGTAAAATTTAACATTGTTAATTTTGTTGGCATTGCAGCCAATTAGCTGAGTTCACTTGCATGTTTAGTTCAATTCAGGTGAGTAAAAATGTTTATTTATGTAATTATATAAGTAAAGGACTCACATTTAAGAGAACATGGAAATGCAAGTTTTGGAAAATGAAGGTGCTTGGTTTATACGGCTCATCTTTCATCAGGAGCTCTGAAGTTTCCAATCTTCCTGTAGTGCTGATGGTTGTTCCAAGGTCTGATAGGGGAGAGATCATGGGGTCTCTGAAACTCAGATCCTATTTAATATGAACATTCAAGGGATCTGAAATGCAATGGGACAGGATGGAAGGGGCACAGACAAGAAGTGAGGGGAAGCACTGCTGGTTCTTTAGGGAAAAATCTATGTAAAGAGACACTATTGTTAGAGTGGTGTCAGAGATCCCTGATTACTTCTCCTTCCTTATTAACTGAACCCTGCTGTTATTTGGGGTGGGTATAGTCCTAGCCAAAAGAAAGCCAGGCATTCTTGCATCTCACATTCATGAGACAGAGACCTAGCCTAAGACACTGAGTAAAACTAGCTGATTCAGCAGGCAAAGCCATTTACCCGCTGCCCATCCTGTAGGCTGGAGCAGTGACAGCTTCTTAGGAGAATGAAGGCAGAGCCCACAGGAGAGAAAAGAATGGGAATCCAGAAAGAATCCGGGTCCTTGACGTTATTATAAAAACATCTCTGAGTAGGGGAAGTGGGAGGGGTGGGGAAAGGAAAGAAGGGAAAAGAAAAAATATGAGAAAAGGAAAAAAAGGGGAAACAAAGTCTTTGTAAATAGGGAAGGGTAGAGGAGGTGAAGGGAGAGCAGGGGAATGGGGAAAAAATAAGAACCAAAAAACATCATGTAAAGGTACAAAATTCCAATGATGAATGTAACTGTATTTTATACCTAAAATGTACCAATAAACTTAATGGAGAAAAAAAAATCTCTGAAATTCTTACCTGTAGAGTTATTTAACAGGAGGGAAAATAAACCCCCTGAGCTGTTTGGAGAGTGTACCTTTAGCTAAAAGAAGCCTCAAGAAATTTTATGCCTATTTTCAACCACCCACAACAAACCACCTCCTGCTGTGACAGTGCACGTTATCTCTCCTCTTTCCAGGTGGGCCCTTCCTTGATCTGAGATGACAGATACTTCTGCTACTTTTTCCATTTGCATGAAAAACATCAAATTATAATGGATCATTTTCATCTCACCATGCCAGCAAATCCTTCTTTGAAATCAATAACAAGAAATCTCATCCCAGGAGCAATTTCCTGATCATCAAATTTGTAAATATATATTTTAATTTGCTGCCCCTCCTGGCTTGCCACTTAGTGGGTGTGCTACACCCTGGAGGTTTCACTGTTCTAAAACGGCTGGAAATCAATCCTCAGATGACCTTCAATTGTGTGTCTGCTAAGAGGCCTCGTAGAACAGGAAATCAAAGAGCTAGATGAAACTTCAAGAATAGTTAGTGTTGAGAGATTGCTTCATAGTAGGGTGAATGTTTATAAGAGGTATCAGCAAAGTGATCTCATGGCACCCTCGCAGCATTGCTGTTTTATGAAAAACTATAGCTGTTCTCGAACACACCTGAGAGGATGCTCTTTCTGTGCCTCCTTCAACTATCTCTGGTCCAGGCTTTTTTTTTTTTTTTTTGTACCTGGGCTCAAACTCGGGACCTTGCGCTTTCGAGGGAGGCTCCAGAACCACTGAGCTAAATCCCCTGTCCAGGCATTTTTTGCAAGCTCCATATCTCCTCAGGGCTCTCTCCAGAGTAAGCTTTGTGCTGCTGCTGCTTTTTGTACATCTCTTTTCTCCATTAAAGCCTTGATGCTCTGATTGTTTTTATCTAATCAGTGCAATCTACACTCTGCTCTCTAGCCATGAGGAAGATGAGAATGTGGATTTCTGGCTTCTCCTTGAGCACGTGCAGAAATTCCTCTGCTCAAGAAGGGGTTTCAAAAGACCCTGGAAGACTGCAGATCCCTACAGTGTCATTGCTCACTAGTTCTCCCCAGCATGAGTGCCCTGGCTCTGCTCCTCGCCACGGTTCCATTACTCCATTTTCTCCTTAAAAATTGGCAGACGAGTATGAAAATCTGTAATGTTAAACTCCCAACTCCCTGCTTAAGAAATAGAAAGGAGGAAGCCAACAATGTGCAGACAAGGCGGTATGAATTCCAGATGTAGTCCCAGAAAAAGGTGTTCAGGGCATGAACCTGCTATTTTAATGTAATGGGAACCACTTGACTTTAAAAGATAGTTTTTAATTTCCCAAATACGTGTGTTTATCAAGGTATAATCCTCAAAGTGTTCTTTAATGTTAAACAAATAGGCTGGTGAAGTTGATTTAAAATAGGATATGAGAACAAGAATTTCATGTAGTCACTGAAAAAGAATGCTGGAATTCAACTGTTTAATTAGATACAGTCACTTCAGTATTTTATTGGGGCAATAAAACTATAACTTTATCTTTAGTGCCTATTAGAAAAAGAAATACCTTGTAAGTTTTCTATGTGTTAAGCTTTACTTTTTCAGAGTTGCGAAATGTTGATGGTAAATATAGGTTGAGTATCTCTTTATCCAAAATACTGTGGCCTAGAAGTGTTTAGATTTCAAGTTTTGTTTTTAATCTTGGAATATTTGCATATATACAGTGTGACATCCTGCGGGTGGGACTGAAGTCTAAACACAAAGCTTATTTATGTTTTCATATACATTTTATACCCATAGACTGAAGATAGTTTTATACGATTTTTAAAAATAATTTTGTGCAGGAAACCAAGTTACATAGTATAGAATAGTTGGCTTGTGGCATCCTGTTGGTGCCCAAAGAGTACCTATTTGGATTTTGAAGCATTTCAGATTTTTCAGATGAGGAATGCTCAATCTGTATGGCCGTCACAAGACCTTGTCAGATTGTCCTCTTATTTCCAAGTTTCAAATATTTTTTCCTGTAGTGACTGACTGGCATTTTTTATCTTTAACACATACATTCAATCATTTGTTTATTCAACGAGACACTGATTGGAATTCCATCCTGTGTCAAGAACTCAGTTGGACGGTGAGGAAACAAAATAAATGAGGCATAGTCAAGCTGAAGAAACAACCTAAAATTAGCCAACTATGTCAACTGGGTTGTTAGAAGCAGTAATAGTTTCACGGGATGGAGACAGAGGAAGCACTTCTGTTTTCACTTGGGGGTTGAGAGTTTGTTTTAGTCCACTTTCTTTTGCAATAAAGGAACACTTGAGGGCCGGGGATTTAGCTCAGTGGTGCCACCGCCTGCCTCGCAAGCGCAAGGTCCGAAGTTCGATCCCCGGTACCGAAAAAAAAGAAACACTTGATGTAGCTCAGTGGCACAGTGCCTGCCTGGCAAGTGTGAGATCCTGAATTCAATCCCTGGTACCAAACAAAGGGAAAAAGAAAGAAAAAAAAGAAAGAATTGAAGAGCTGAGGCTGGAAGTCTGAGTACGTCCTGGCATCTGCTGGGCATCTGGCGAGGCCATGCTGCTGCATCTTAACCTGACAATGCCATTACGTGGCAAGACAAAGCAAGCATGCTGGCTCAAGTCTCTCTCTTCTAAAGCCACTAAAGCTGTCATGGGGCCCCTGCTCATGGCTTCATCTCACCATAGTTACTTCCCAAAGGCCCCACCTCTAAATCCCATCAACATATAAATTTAAGGATCGAGTTTCTACCACATGAACTTTCTCAGACACATTCAGACCACAGCAGAGATGGACATAAGTTAGACAGGTTCAGTGTTTCTTGAAGACCTACTAAGTGCCAGGTACATGCCAGGCTGGGAGAGTCAAGATAGGCAGCAGGTGGAAATGGATTGGCAGCCTCTGGGGCTGTTTCCTGGCCAGACTTATTTTCTACTCTTCTACCCAGGACTGTTGTTCACCCTGAGGATTCCACTCCCACTCTGTGGCCATCTCCAGGGAACAGATAATCCAGGGACTCTGCCCAGAGGGTAGCTCAAGGCCCAAGTTCAGACTTCTTTGAAAAAACTGTATGTCCAGGTGAGCAGTTTAAGAAATAAAGAATGGCTGGGCCATTTCCCCAAGACATATGCCTTGAAGAGATTCCCTGGAGTAGACCTAGAACTCGCCCTTCCAAAGCCTGGTTCCTTAGCCTTTCCTTCTCTCCTCTTTTGTTCCAACATTTCTATTTTGGTAACAGGAAAATCTGGCTTCCATTGCTTACAACCAAAGGACCCTAGCTGATAAACACAGCTCCCAAGGAACATGCCAAGGATGGAAGTGTTGCATTTGGACTGGAAAAACAATATGAGAGCATCTGGGAGCAGCACAAGTGGAATGGGCTGTGTTTGAAGCTCCTCTGCCTCCTTAAAGGCTGATGCTCCATGAGATATGAAGCTGTGAATCCCTTCCCCAGAGATCATACCGCCCAGGAGACTGAGGGTGGGTGGAGACTGATGCAGGTCACAGAACAAACGTGACCCAGACCCAGAATTTTGACCCAAGCAATTGTCTGTTCTTTTGGGCCTGTTTATCTTCCCTAACATTCATTTGTTCTTCCATTAATATTGCCTCCAGCCCCACTTACTTCTGCTCCACAAATAGGGCAGATAAGCTCTCCCATCTCACCAGGTTACCTGGTACCTGCTTTCCTGTGATGGCCCCATGCGTGTCACAATCTCACAGGATTTTCTTCAGCAGATCTATTGCCTGTTAATTTCAGAAGACTCGGCCATCAAACCTGCAGAGGAGAAAGAGAAGGTTCCTTGTCTCCTACAGTTGGCAGTAGAGCCCATATGCTCCACCATCCAAGTTGACAGTCCTTACCATGGGGATGGGACATTGGCCTGGCTCTTCTGAGAGACTGTTAAGTCCCAGCTAGGAGAACTTGCCTGTCAGCCTCAACAGCACATTCCTTGGGCTCTTCTGGGGGCCAGGCATTGTTCTAGGGACAGAGGACATAACCCACCCTCGAAGAGCTTCTAGTAGGTGATATAGCTACACTCCCCAGAGGGCCCTGTATATCCTCTGTAGCTCAGCGAGAGCCCCTCCTGTCGTGTACACTGCATACCAGAAGGAACGGTCCACATGGGAACTGACTTTGCCCTTGGGAGGCTCCTGAGGGACCTGGGATCCTCTCGACCCTGTCAGGACCAGAGCTTGATTTCCCAGGAGCAGAGCACCCTTCATGTAGGGCCGGCATCATGATCACTGTGAATTTGACTGGGCCAAGCCCGGTACAGAGAGTTTGCGGCACCAACCTAGGAGACACTCACATAGGCCGTAGGTCAGTGACTTCATATGTGTTCCTCTGAGGCTCTTGGCAAAGGTTGGTGCACTTGGCCTTTATTTTGTTGCTGCTTCATAGAGCACTTGGAGCGATAAAGTGTGTCACATATTACACAAAAGACTGCTTGTTATTCATCTCCATATTTATTCGTTCAAAAGATATTTAAGGAGCTTAAGCATCACTGTTCTAGATACTCAAAATGTAACAAAGGACACAAATCCTCACCTTAACAAGGGAAGTTTATGCCCAGAGGACTTGTATTTTGAAAACTATCTTCCCTGCTTAGCAACTTGGTGTGAGAAAAACAGCCAAGACTCAGGAGTGGAACCTGTAGTCCAGGCCAAACAAACAGCACCAGTGTTGCCTGGCAACAGGAATTTATTACCTGGTGGACACGTGACCTGAGCTGACCCAATCAGAGCTAACTTCATGGTTTTGTGAAAACTGCTGGAAACCAGAGCCACCCTAAGCCATTGATTGACCATGTCAATAAAATGGATTCTGGGGTAAATGTATATCCATCTGGTCCTCGAGAGTGATGCCACCCCAGGAAGTCCTGATGACCACTGAATTTGATATCTGAACATGGCTGTGCCTGACCTGTGCCTAAGATGACTAAATAGCCATGTGTAGAACTTAAAAGGGCACTATTCACAGTGATCCCAAAATGACAGACGAGGCCTCTCCTGGACAAATCATCTATCTGTGTGCTCCTGAAGCTCGGGATGGATTCTTTCATCCGTGACCTCAGCACCCTGTCTCACTATCCTGGCAGCAGTTGGTCTCTGCTTAAGGCAGCCAGGATGCAGTTGAGTGACAGATTGGAAGTGAAGGGGCTGCTGCTGACATTAGGGGGTCAGACAGGCACACTGGGGACCCCCCATTCTGACTGGCCATGTGCTTGCTGTGCAGTGCACTTTGAGGGTCTCTTGGCACCAGGGTGGAGGGCTTGGGGATGAGCAGGCTTATGGCATGCTTCAGAGACAGAATCTTAGTAAGATGCACAAACACCTAAGCCCCTGACTGCAGCACAAGATCCTGAGGGAACCACAGGTGCAGCCACCTGCTCAGTGGCCCTTCCAATAGACATGTTTTCAGAGTTTCTTTACTGATAAAACCTGTCAGGCAGAGCAATGGACTGGACCTCCTCCCTGCCCAGAATTGACTGGAGTCCCCCATTCTGTAAGTGCCCCTAGCAGGCTGGCTGCCACTCACTATGCCAGCTGCTTCCTGCCTCTCCTTTTAGAATTTCAGCCCCAGAGCCTTAGGGATGGAAACCCCTCATCTTTGGTCAAGGAAATAAGGAGGCCCTGCCTTCCCTCCTT